AAATTTATTTTTAATATTTTAAATGACATATATTATATTATGTCATTAATTTTAAATTTTAATATAAAATTTAATCTTATTTATTATTTTTTTTTCTGTAATTTAATATAGTATGAAAAAAAAGGGAAAGTATAAATGGACTGTTAAATATTTTAACAAGTCTTAACTACAAAACTGGCCCAAAAATAAAAGAATTTTTCTATCAATAACTTAAGTAGCATAATAATAATTTTTTTTTTTAAAGTAAAAACTCATGAATTTGAGTTACATAAGATCAAATATGAGAAATAGTTATCTATCATTGTCCAATCAAAGAAAAAAAAAAAGAAAAAAAACTTCTCTGTTTTCGAATTTACCAATTTTCCACATTTGTAATTTTTCATAGTAACCGCCGCACGTTCCGTTTTGGTTTGCAGACGGAGACCGACCGGTGTTGTTGCTCCAGGTGGCCGTCGATTGTCGGAGTCGAAATTCCACGCGCTCTGCTGCGCGTGTCGGTCCATTCATCTTTGCTTTCGCAAAAGAAATTGACGGACACCAGTCAACGCAACAATCACCAAAAAATATCAGATTGAAATGTCGCCAATTACTTCACAACAAAGGTTTATTCCTTAAAATCCTTGCCGTAAATTAATGAATTGTTCTCTGATTCCATCTTTGTGCCCCGAGAATCAATAGAAAATGGGAAATAATTGGATTCCCTCTTCGTCTTCTTCATTGATTGTCAGTCTTTTCATGCTCTTTTCATGTTTATTTCGCTGCTGTCATTCACTCGAGCAACTGGGTGAGTATAATACCGCCACCATATCCAACGTCAAATACCCAGAAACCCGGATCAAGGCTTACGATTTGCGTTACATCAGAGGTGCGTAAGCTGATTCTCGACGTGCTTTTGGCGTTGCTTTGATATCTTTAATTAATTCTTGCTGTTTTTTCATTAATTTTGGGGAGATGGGATTGTTGGGTACTTGTCAAAATTTTAAATTTGTGGAAAAATGTGTGAGATTTGTTCATGCAAGTTGAACGGTGGTATCAGTTTGTTTTTTTATATGTTGTGTAATTTTTATCTATAATAGTCTGTTTCATGTTCGGTCAATTTTAACGCTGATGTTATAATTTCTTTCAATTTTTTTTTCTTTTTTCTAAGAAAAGAAGTCATGTATTACCTAATCCCTATAGCAAGCTTTCTACCCTTTCTTTCCTTTTTTTTTTGGTCTAATTTAAAAAAATTTTAAGCTTACAGGTGCTATTTACCTACTATTAGCCTGCAGATGAGTTACCTGGAATGCATGAGCAAGAGGGAAAAAAATATGAATGGTTCAGTTTTATTTGGTTTAGGTCTGTTACTGAGTAGGAAGTGTGAAAGAGGCTGAAATCGTTTGGGATAGTTATGTTGGTTTACTTAACTGGTATAATTTTTTAGAAGATATATATTATTTTCTTATCAATTCCTTACTGGTTTTCGTGTTTTGCCATGTTGCAGTTGATTTACCACCATGGTTCTCTAAAATGTCTGTAGCATTGGAGTCGGATGTTGACCTTGTAAGTTTACATTCATGGGTTAAGATTTTCCTATATCATGTTATAAGATGGCTTTTGTTTATTATCTTTTGGATTTCTACTTTTCTATTGAGATGAACAATAATAGGCTTCCACAACTTAGCTGGTTCCAATTTTTATGTTGTTGCTTGTCACTATTCCTTTTTCTTTTATTTTATTTTATTTTATTTATCATAATGTTGTTTTAGTTTTCCTTAGATCATCCTTTTAGTACTCTTGACTATAGTTTAGTGTGGTGTTTTGCATATGAGTCTAGAAGGACTAACATGACAATGTCTTTCCAATTTTATCAATTTTAGTTTTGTTGCCTATCTCGTCGCTTATATTCAAATTCTTTTTCAGGATGTTGAAAATGCAGAAGAGATTCCGAAAAGCAGTTTGCCAACGTTTTGTTTCAGAGAAGGCAGCCCCCCACTGGCAGATGACTCAAACGTTTCTTTCAAAAGTTCAGGTAATTGTACAAATAAACCTGATATATATGCCTGAAACATGAACTATCAATGTTATAATAATCTTCATGAACCATAAATGAATCTGGCTGTTCTGAGAACTTTTTCTTGTCACAGCATTAGGTGCTCTTCAAAATGGATCTTTTGAAGGACCACTTGATCTTCAAAATACGGAACAGTGCTATCCTATGCAGAAAAATATAACGATAATGTTGACAAGCGAGCAGGTTTGCATTCAACTAATTTCCATAAATGAGAATTCCTAGTTTCCATGCTTGTCATGGGCTCTAAATTTTTATTTTTTGGGGGGAGGGGCTGTTTGGGGGTAATAGAAGTTATGTTAGATTGGTGTTTGGGTTATTTCACAACTTCCCTTGTTTTCCTCATCTTGCATTGGATCCTGATTTTCAACACTTTACACTTTAACACTTCAACTTACAAGTTTGTGGTTCAGATATCTCCAGGGATATGGTACTTTGGTCTTTTTAATGGTGTTGGGGCTACAAGGACACAATCAAAGATGGTAAGCTCACTAGAAGTTGTAGTTTATATCTTGTTTATTGGTTGCTTTATTAGATCTTTTTACCTCAATTAGTCTACTACTTCTGTTATAAGAGATCACTGAAATAACTCTTGCATTCTTCTATGGCACTTACATCTAATCTGGGAAAAAGTCTAGGGAAGCCCTAGAGTACTTTTCTAAAATTGGTAATAAAAAGAGTTAAAGTCATGTTCACTCCTTTCCAACAAACTTTTCATTTTCATGGAGGGGCTTGAAAAGGTTGGTTCCAAACTCTTATCTGGAAATTGATTTTAGGGCATACTTCTGGACTGCAGATTGTTAGGGCCCCCGCTTATTCTTTCGTAGCTAATGTTAGTGTGGAAGGATGTGTGACCTCAACAATGTATGGGCAGTACTGCAACCAGACTGTCGAACTGCTTTCATGTGGTCAATCTGGCAGTTACAATGACATGGAAAATCCTCTAGTTAGTAACTTGTACAATCAAAGTCTGGTTTCTTGCAGAAACAACTTTGAGACTCCATGCCTGGGAGATGGTGAATTGAAAGCATACTCCGTAGAAATATTCGGAATATCAGAACAATTAACCATCAGGGCAGAAAATGTAACGTCCTCTAATAAGACTGGGAATTTCAGTGGAATTGATTTAATGTGTTTTGTGCGCCATGGTGCAATGGCTTCAGCCTCTCTGCATGATTATTCTGGTAACTTAAATGAAGCCCCATTGGTTGTTGGCTCTCCAAAGGTTGGTCGTTGGTATATTTGTATTCTGCCTTTAAATCTTTCAAAGGAACTGAAGGGAATTCAAAGTAACAGTACGAAGGTTTGCTATTCCATGGAACTGCAACTGCTTCAGTGTCCTCAGGGGAAGGCTGGGCCACATTGTACATCAGACATATACATGCTTCAGGTGTGTCGTGTTCTTTTTGAAAAGTTTATTGCTCCATTCCATTTCAGAATGTGCTTGTTGTCTATTATTTCTTAATTTTATAGTCTCATGCAATTACAAAATTATCGGCCAATATGCATGTGCTGGGTTTAATAAAATCTGTCTACCTGCTTGTCTTGTGTTGAACAACTAAATGTGAGTCTTAGAAAAAAAAAAGAAAAAAAAGAAAAAAAAGAAAAAGAAGACAATAATTGAACATGCAAAAGGATATAAAGGTAACTGCCTGGTTTGCTGGTAAAGAATTATTAGCTGTGGTGGCATGAAATGGCTGCCTATGAAGGATTGTTCGAGACCTGTATGGCTGATGAGTGATGATCATTATTTTTGCTAAAGCACTGCCTCCTGGGAAAGGACAGGACAAGAGACATGGTGCAATCCTTTTCCATTTGAGTGGCTGGTTACATATCCAGATCAGCTTGTCATAGTGAGAACCAAAGGGAGGGTAAAACTGTATCACTTGATAATCTGACTTAGAAGCAAGAGCTAATTATTAACGTAACTATTTCAAAACAACAAGGGTTAAAGATTTTGGTATGGAGAGTCACCTCAGAACGTGACCCACACACATCACAAAAATGTAATGGAGCTACATTTGATTTTCATTTTTGCACTTTAAATTGCATTTATGAACACTTCTTTTTTTTTTTTCAGTACAATATTTTCTTACTGTTGATGCTTGAAGAAACTCATTCAAAGGAATGATTTATTGACAAGCTAAGAATGGTTCTCTGCAGACGCTTCTCAGGAGAGATTCTATTCCTTTTGAATCCTATTATTTGCCTGCTGGTCAGAAAGTGAACTCGGATGGAGCCAATTTTCTTCTTGAACCCCTTTTAAGCAACTCCTCATATAGTGGACAAGTAGATAGTAATTGGACATACTTTTATTTGAACATTCCCTCTGGTGCAGCTGGAGGAAATCTCCACATCCGATTAACTTCAGATAAAAAGATAGGTTATGAAATATATGCTAGATTTGGTGGATTACCATCACTTCATAACTGGGACTATTATTATGCAAACAAGACAAGCAATAGTCAAGGCTCCATATTTTTCACGTTGTATAATTCAAGTGAAGAAAAGGTTGATTTTTACATCTTGTATGCTAGAGAAGGGATTTGGAATTTCGGGTTAAGGCATCCAATCCCTGTTAGCGGTACTTCTCATGGTCAGACTACCATGTCTGTTTCACTTGAAAGATGCCCCAAAAGATGCTCCTCTCATGGTGACTGCAAATATGCCTTTGATGCAAGTGGATTAACCTTATTCAGGTCTAACTTTCAACGCTGCCTCATCAATTTCCTTTTGTTTTCCTTTCACAAAAACCTAGAGATCCCCTCTACCTATCCTGCCACTTCAGCACTTTGTTTGAATATCTGACACATGGAACTTCTTCTTTAACCATGAAAGTTTAAGTTGCCTTTGTTCCTTCTGAATGTGATGTTTTCTCATCTCAGTTTTTGCTCTTGTGATCGGAACCATGGAGGTTTTGACTGTAGCATTGAAATTGTTTCACGTCAAGGTAAATGCATTTCTGAAGTTGAACAATTAGACATCCTTGCCATTTTTCTTGATACCTTGTCATTTATGGTTCAAGATTGTGATCTATTGTTTCTGTCCCTACAAAGATGTTTCAAATAAGACAGCATGCATGGTGTTTGTTAACTAGGTTGTAAATAAAATACACAGGACTGTCTATCAACTTTAGGGTGCAATATTTTAACTTATTTCTGATGGTCATTATTGTGAATCCCTAGAACTGTAGTATGTTAGTAAATTAAATTTAGTTAATCTTTATTGAAAACTTATGCAGGGCACATATGGCAATCGATTGCCCTTATTGCATCAAATGTTGCGGCAGTATTTCCTGCCTACTGGGCTCTTCGGCAGAAGGTAATGCTTTTATTAACTCTGGACCAACATCTCATCCATTGGAACTGAGTTCAAATGGCAACTTTTTGACTCAATGTTTAATTCTTCATATTAGCACAGGGATAATAATTAGTTGCTTTGTTCAGGCTTTTGCAGAATGGGTGCTGTTCACTAGTAGTGGAATTTCCAGTGCATTGTATCATGCGTGCGATGTAGGCACATGGTGTGCATTATCCTTCAGCGTCTTACAGGTGTTTGTTGGTGTTACACCCCCCTCTGCCTCATTCTCAAATTTATTTTGAAATACTATTGATGAACCAACTGGCAAATGTTTCAGTTTATGGATTTCTGGCTCTCTTTCATGGCTGTGGTGAGCACATTTGTATACCTAACTACTATCAGTGAAGTTTATAAAAGGACAATATACACAGTTGTAGCTATTTTTACTGCCCTCATGGCCATAACCAATGCAACCAGGTATGATGTTATTGTCAAGTTGAAGTTCGTCTAAACTAAATGACAAATGTTTGACATCTAACCAAAGCTAAGCTCTGCAGGTCATCCAATATTATTCTTGTAGTGGCAATTGGGGCACTAGGTCTTTTTGTTGGGTGGCTGATAGAGTTTGCCATTAAGTTTAGATCCTTTTCCTTTCCTATGGGATGCCGTATACAAATTCCTGGAAGGTTGAATTCTCTTCTGTACCATCATAAGTTTCTTTCTTTTTGCCTTTCCAATCATAACGCTGTATTGAAATATATAAAAAGAAACTGCTCGTGCCTTTGATAACATGAAGGAACTGTATTCTCTTCCAATAAACCTGATCAAGTATTGTAACTGTAGACAGCAAATCACAGAATGGATGCGAAACTTACTAAAGAGCTTGTTGAGGAGATTCAGATGGGGTTTTCTACTAGCAGGATTTATTGCATTGGCCATGGCTGCAACAAGCTGGCACCTGGAATCAAGTGAAAGCTACTGGATTTGGCACAGGTTTAATCTCTCCCACCTATTTTTTGCATTTAAACACACACACACACACACACACACACTCTCTCATAAATTTGACACGTAAATTTGTTTGCAGTGTCTGGCACGTTACCATATACACATCTTCTTTCTTCTTCCTCTGTTCAAAAGTGATAAACATAAATGGTAACAATGAGAGACCGCAAGAGAGCCACTATGCACCAGCTCAACAGGATTTACCAGCTGGCGAATAAAGACTTCTTCCAGAACTTAAAGTTACAGATAGAAAGGAATAATCCTGTCTCAGTCTTGCAATGGGGAGAAAAATTCTTGCTCTTGAAAATAAGAAATCTCCCATTGCCAACAATTTCAGCAGGCTACGCCTGTAGATGAGGTGGTTTTCTGGTGTCTTCAGGCTACTTAGGCCGAAGGTCTGGTACCCTTGATATAATAAGCAGAAGGCATGCCAATTGAGTCGACAGAGTCACAGAAGCTGTTTTATAAATTCTTCTTACTTTTGTCGTTTTGTCCTGGATATATATAAATAAATAAATATATATATATATATATATATATATATATATATTTTTTCTTCCTTTTGCACAGATACATAGAGTAGAAAGAGTTTTGGGAAGATAGTGTTACTGAGAGCTTTAGGATTCCAAAATACTGAAGTGTAGAAGAAACTTATCATCCCTAAAAAATTTCTCTATCTAAATAATCAAATAAAAAAGTGTTTACAATTTGAACTGTACTGAATTACGTAACTTAAATTATTAGATGAAACAAATTACTTGACAATTATCAATACTTCCTATTTTACAGCAAACTTATAATCACATATTCATTTATGTTCACAATCCTTTCTTGAGCTCTTAAATGTACAGCAATGAATACCATAAGAGAAAATAAAGCCACAAAAATCATCAATTGACAATTACCCAAAAACAGAAAGAAAGGCTCGTTCCCCTGGATGAATTTAATTGCCTACGCATTAATCTCATTACCTTCCTCAACAGATTCCTCAGATAATTTTGGAAGGTATGAAGGCTTTCTTCTACCTTTGATTTTCATCTCTGTGGCTTTGATCTCTCTGATGCAAGCTTTAGCTCAGTTTTGTTTTCATCTCAACGAGCCATTTGATCACTTTTCTCTTATTGAAGCACTTCTCTGAGAATTACAGGAAAGGGAACGATCTAAAGCACATAGTTCCCTGTAATCCTTGCGGATGCTCCATAGGACCTCCCCACACCTTCTCATGGTAGGCCTGTTCTGTCTACGAGGAGCCTGGCATTGCCAGGATAGTTCAAGAATTTTCTCAATGGCCAAGTTGTTTCCAGCAGTCTGTTCTAGTTTGGGGTCCACAGTTGAACTGGTATCCCCTTCAGTGAATTTCTTCATTGCCTGTGCAGAGTTTTAATGCTCAGTACTAAGCCTTACTGATCTAAAAACGAGAGAAGAAAAGAATAGAAAGAGAAGCATACCCATTTTGAAGTTATCCGTTCCTTGAGTTCACGTTTTGGCTCAATGGGGCGCCTGCCTGTGACTAGTTCAACCAATAATATGCCGAAGGAGAAAACATCACTCTTTTCTGTAAGTTGATAGGTTCTCAAGTATTCTGGGTCCAAATAACCAGCAGTTCCCTTAACCTGGGTAGATACATGGGTGGCACCTGAATCAGTGTCAGCAGCCAGTCTAGCAAACCCGAAATCAGCTACCTTAGCCCGGAACTTTTCTGTGAGGAGGATGTTGGAAGACTTTATGTCTCTATGGATTATGGGATGATCTGCAAGGAGTCCAACCATCATCTAATTAGTCAACCATCAAGAATCCAATTCTGAGGGAAGAGCAGTTTGGCTCTTATTACTATGATTTATATCAATTGGAGTTCTTTTTCCACAAAAAACACAAACCTGTATACATATGAAGATAGGTGATTGCATGAGCCACATCTATGGCAATATCTAGCCGTGCAGCCAGGTCAAGAACTTTTCCATGCAAACCTGCATCAATCTTCTCATGTTTAGGGAGCATAATTGCACATGTATGCTAATTAAAAATGCAAATTACTCTGAAAGAGAGAGGCTAGTAGGAAAAAAAAAAGAAAAAGAAAAAGAAAAAGAAAAACTCACAGTCCAAGTGTTCCCTGAGAGTTCCATTGGGTACATACTCCACAACAACAATTCTTTCATCTTGGTGCTCTAAATACCCATAGAACTTAACCAAATTCAGATGTTCTACCTGCGCCAATGTTCGGATCTCACTTTGGAACTCAACACCCAAATGCTTATCGTATACACTCTGGAAATGAAGTTATTAATTACTTTGTTAGACCTATGACAGATCCTGCCACTGAACCCAGTCGAAACTAACAGAAAATAAACTAATCAGTAGAAACTTTTGTCTAACCTTCTTAGCACGCTTGATTGCAACAAGGGTTCCATCATCAAGTCTCCCCTTGTATACAGTCCCAAACCCACCTTGTCCTATCTTGGATGAAGGGGAGAACTTGCCGGTGGCCTTGTAGATTTCTTCCCATGTGAACCTCCCGGTGCCAGACTTTCTCCCATGAGTTGAATTTTGTGGACTGCCATAAATCCCCCGGTTGGAACTCCTACTGCCACCTCTAGTGCTACCGGATGTAACTGAAATCAAACAAAAATTTGAGCTTCTTCCCAACCCATCTGAAGCAATGCCATGATTAATCTATAAAAGCTTTAGTACCCTTAGAGAATAGAAATGAAATTGTAGTTTACAAAATACCAAATTCATAATTCTTTTTCAACCTAAGATTCATGACCAAGACTTGATGAATTACTATGAAGTTTTTGAGATAAATGAAAGAAAGCATTTAAGAAACATCGTGACTTTTCCCTGCTCCAACAACCGGTTTTATTAGAATAAAGTTTGAAATCAGACTGTTTGGTAGCCGAGAAAGTATCCCAAAAAAAGATCAATCAAAATTGTAAAATTAAAGATTAAAAAAAAAAAAAAAACACACAGCATGGAAATATTTCCATTCCATTATCATTATCAGTGAGTTAAAAAAAAAAAAAAATTGAACGAAACTCCAAATCCGATCATATAAAGAGAGAACAGAACATACCGGACGGGGCTTTGAGTTCATCAGAGTCGGTGAAATTTTTGGTGGTCTCAGGAGGAGTAAAACAGGCCACAAAGATTCCAGCAACGGAACGTGCAGCAACTGACACGGGATTCCGGTGGGAATTGGACTTCCGAGAGGAGGCGGATGACTCAGAGAAGCTAGGAGAGTAGGGAAGTCGATCTGGCGTTGACCGCTCACCGGAGCTCCGGTTCCAACGTCGACCGTAGATTGAGCTACTCGGGCTTGTCATCAGGACAGGAGAGAGGTAAAGTCTGCAGTTCGTAAAAATGGCGGGTAGTTGAGGAAGAGCGAGTTAGATATAAAGATATAATGGGATGACTTTGGTCGTCGATACTAACGCACGCTTTTAATGTATAGTTGTGGAAAGGACCCTTAAATAGCAAAGTCTTTATATACGAGTAGAATTTTCAATTACGCAACTTGACGACCCTTATGGATATAAATTGTGCTTTTATATAATTTATTTTTTTATTTAGAAATTTATTTATAATATTATATATATTTATTTAGTCATATACTAAATTTATTTAATAATATATTATAATTATAATTTTATATGATATTATGATTATAGTATTGACATATAATTTACTAATTATAATTAATGATCCTATTTATAGTTAAGTGGTGAAATAAAGATAAATTATTAAGCTAATGAACTTAAGTAATTCAAAAGTTTTTTTTTTTTTTTTGTCAGAAGTAAGAGGTTCTGAATTCGTATCGCATAATATACAGGTAAAATAAGATAACAGATAAGAGATAATTATCTTTTATTATGCAATCAAAATTAAAAAAAAAAGATTGGTATGAGAATTATATTTTATAATGTAAATTATATTAAATTGTAAAATATAAATCATTTGATGGGTGACGGATTTTCAATATTAAGAAAGCTTGTCTCTTATTTAACAATTTTAATTTAATTATATAATTTAATACAAATTAAATTATATAATACTTTTCTATAATTATATTTAGCAAAAAAAAAAAAAAAAAAAAAAACCTTTACCCCTACGAGCACCGACCACATTTTGACCAATAACGTAGCAACGAATCCACCATTCAAGATAAATGAGACGACTCTTGGTTAAAAAATACAGTCAATGTAAAGTTTGTGTCTTCTTTTTGAGACATATGCCTTGAATTCATATCTGTTGGAAATTTTAAAATGAAAATATTATAATGTTAGGTGGACTTCTTAATTTAATTTTTTTTAAAGGCTGGCTTAAAATTTTAATTTGTAATTAGTTTTTTAAAAATTAATTATTAAATTAAATATTTTATTTATATAAATTATATATGTCAATTGATTTAACATTTATAATTACTTCATTAAAAAAACTTTATTTATTTTTAGTAGTATTAAATTATGTAATTAACAAATTAGTTATATTTATTAGATTAATTTAAAAATTAATAAAAATAATTTATATAAATAAAATTTTTAATATAATAATTAATTTTTAAAAATATTAATTAAAATATAATATTTTTAAAAATGTCCTTTAAAACAATATTTTGTAAGAAAAATTAAGAAAAATTAAAACATTTTGATATTTAAAATATCAAGAATAATAAAAAATATATATCCTTAATATATTAACGAACAAAAAAATCCATGAAAAATATTTAAATAATTTCATAAAAAATTTTAACATTTAAAGTATCAAAATATTTTAAATTTTACTTTTTTCTTTACAAATGTTTTTTTTTTTAAATATAAATACTTTTATTTTTGTGAAAAAGACACTATAGGACGGATCGAACTTCTTCTTCTTCTTCTTCTTTTTTTTTTTTTAATTTGTTAAATGAAATCACATTTGTTTTACTTTTACAAGATGCTTTTGTAGCCACTTGGCCTTGGTTTTCACATTTCCAGAGCCAAAAATTGTCAAGTCAACAACAATTTTTTGGAATAAAAATTTTCAACTGTCAAAGTCAAGCTTTTCAATAAAAAAACCATTGAACTATCCAAGTCAAGCACTGCAAAAGAGGCCAAGGAATACGCGTCTTTTTTTTGGTAGAAAAAAAAAGGGGGGGCGCGGGGAATACGCGTTTTTTCTGTGGTATGGTAGATCCAAAAACATTGTTACCTCAATTGTCTGATCAACAGTGAGTCTCCCACTACGAACTGGAGTATAAGAAACGGTTGTTTTGGTGGGATTGTCAGATCCCACTTCTACGAGTTGTCTTATGGTACAAAAATAGCAACTTCACAACAACAAAAACAGACCCACTTGCCCATAATATGAACAAATTTACAGTCCAACCCATACAAATTTACAGTCCAACCCATTTCGGATGGTAAGCTGAAGGACAGTGCAGGACAACAAAGAGACATTCTGATGATGCCAAAACGTTATTTCATGGATCATGGATTTAGCTAAGTGGGGTTCTAGTGAAGTACTACATTACATGGGTGGATCCCTGAGTATAAAAGAAGGAACTTGCTCTTCATTTCCCATGAGAGGGGCAAGAAATTTACCCTTAGATTAGAAGTCAATCCAACTGAGTTGTGCAGTTAGGGTGGAAATTGTCATGGATTAAATCAATTATATTCCATCTGCTCTTGGAGACGATTTGGTAGAGTTCTCTAGTTAGTTGTAAGTTGCCAGACTTTTAAGCAAATCTTCCAATCAGTACCTGTTTCCGAGAAATTGCGCAGCTAATTAATGTATAACAGTCATAGTTATTCCTTTAATTTTGACATGATAACAAGATCTTTAATTTCTATCAAATTGATACCAAATTGTACGTCGCAAAATACATCAAGTCTCATTTTCAAACATTAGTTAATATATTGACAGCATGAGAGAAGATATAGTCTAGGACTTCAAACATATGCTAAATTTTAATAGGACAGGTGGATTTATAGAAAGCGGCCAAAATCTTACCCCAAACAAGTAGCTGTTTTCAAGTCAGAAGAGTCCACGTAATGAGGTGTGCATTCTCAAAGAAAAAGCTAGGTATTTGGCTGGGAATTTTAAAGAGCATGTTCATCCAGACGGCTACAAATTGTGTAGCTGGAAATGAAAGCGCTATGTTCCTGGTTCATTGGACCAATCAATGTTCCCAGCATAGCATAGATATCAGAAGTATGAGGATGAGATTTGTCATTTGATGCAAACACATGAACGTCACTAGCAATCTCCATCCAGCTGCAACCAGGAAGTTTATAATCACAGTTGTTCCTCATCATTTTGCGTGTGCTTGCCACATCAAACCAATGCCCTCTAGACGCATACATGTTGGAAAGAAGAGTGTAATTCACAGGCTTGTCAGGTTCCAAAGTAAGAAGCTTTTCTGAAGCCCATTTTGCCAACCTTACATTGCCATGTATGCTACATGCCCCTAAGAATGCTCCCAAGGTGTCTGATGTGGTTTCAATGGGCATTGATGTTATAACATCAAAAGCCTCATCCAGGAGCCCAGCTCGACCAAGCAGATCAACGATACAAGTATAATGCTTTGAATCTGGTGCAAGATGATAGTTGTCAGTCATTAAATTGAAATAATAAAGCCCCTCATTAACAAGCCCCCCATGGCTGCACGCAGAGAGAATCCCAAGAAAGGCAATTTGATCTGGCCTTACCCTGCTTGATAACACCTTCTCAAAAATCTTAGTACTTTCTTTTGCAAGACCATGGGATGCGTAAGCATTTATAATTGATGTATACGTAATAAGGTCAGGCTCAGTAACTGAGATAAAACATTGAAATGCACAGTTAATCCTACCGCATTTGGAGTATGCATTTATCAAAGCGTTGGAGATTGATATAAAAGAATCAAACCCATTTTTAACCACGTATGCATGTGCTTGCACAATTTCACTGGTAGTGCTTAAGTTGCCACATGAGCTGAGTATACTGGCCATGGTTAGTTCATCTGGACAAAAGTTCTGAAGCAACATTGCCCTGAAAAGTCGCACAACCTCCTCTCCATCTCCATGTTGCCCATAACCCACAATCATGGTGTTCCAGGACACAACATTCCTAGCAGCCATGCCATCAAAAGCCTGGCGAGCATCATTTATATCTGCATTCTTTCCATACATGTCAAGCAGTGCACTTGCCACAAGAAGATCCAAATCAAAAGATAGTTTGACAATAAGACCATGAAGCTGCTTCCCCAGTTGATAAGATCCCGAAGTCCCACATGCATTAAGCAGAGAACAAAAAGTAAAATCATCTCCCTTGACACCTTCCAACTTCATCAAGCTAAAAATTTCAAAAGCCTCATTCGCTAACAAATTAAAAGCATAGCTAGAAACCATGACATTCCATAACACCAAATCTCTAAACAAAACTTTATCAAAAACCCACCTTGCTTCTTCCATTAAACCACATTTCCCATACAAATCAACCAGAGCACTGCCGACAAAACAATCTGAACAAAATCCCAATTTCTCTACACAACAATGCAATTGTCTACCAATCACAATATCATTCAGCTCGATGCAACCACGCAACAAACCATTAAAGGTTACCTGATCTAAACCCACCTTGTTCAATAACATCCTTTTAAAATAAGCAAAACTCATGTAAATACTAGACTTCAAGTCCCTACCGCAATCAACAACCCCAGAAATCACCGTATTCCAAGTGACCACATTTCTCACACGCATTTCATCAAATAATCTATCTGCGTCACGAAACCCCCGACATTTGACATAAAAATTCAATATTTGATTCTGCAAAGACAGCACCCCATACAATCCCAACTTTATTATGTGCGCATGCACTTGTTTTCCTCCGTAAAGGAGACGCCTTTTGGCCGAGAGTCTGAGAATATCGGAGCAAAATGAATGGACGGAAAGAGGTCTCGGCGATATAAGAATGGACACCGAGTGTCTGAGTCGACAGGGAGGAAGACATGACGAGTCGACCCGAAAGAGGAACGACCCAACAGATAGCAGCCGTTTGTAATGGACGGTGGTGATGGAAGGAAGCCAGCATTTCAAGAGCATAGGATGAGAATCTGCGGGGAGCACCGTTATTTTCCCCCTTCCCACCAATTTATTTCCCTTTCACTTAAAATATAAATTTCATAAATGGTATATATATATATATATGTATATATATTTTTGATAGTAACTAGTATTCAAAAACTACATTGGATACTAATTAATTTGAAATCAATCGAGTCAAATCTCTTATTTACGGTGCTTATTTTTCTATTTACAAAAACTCAAATTCAAGATATTATTTAAAAAAACTTAATTTTTTCCTCTCGAAACATATTGTCGATTCATAAATAATATATATAGTAAAAGAATAATGCTTAATTACTTTATCTTTTAAATTTTTTTTAAAAAAATTATTTTAAAATTATATTATTTTAATAATTTTTATTAAAAATTAAAATATTTTATTTTTAAAATATAAATTAAAATATTTTATTTTTTATTTATTTTTATTAAAAAACTATAATTTAAAATAATTTTTTTTATAATTTATAAAAAAATAAAGTGAATAAACACTAATTTTAGAGTAAACCCTTTTAAAATATCTAAATTTCTTTCTTTTTCCTTTACTTTTCCTACATTAGATTCTTTTCATACTTAAAACCACTTGATTTGGGGTTTATTGCGAGAAAAAGACCAAAGAAAATTCTCCAGAGTTTCTGTAAAAGCTCCAATCGAAGGATGAAAGAGAGTTTTCTTGTTAAAAAATCTTTTTATTGCAAAAGATAAAATTATCATATTTTCAATAAAAAAATTTTATAATTTAAATTATATTATATTACAAAACACTATTAATTATTTTTAAATATATTCAATAATAAGTTATATAATAAAAAATAACTTTTTTTATTCATTCACCTTTAAATTTAAAATTCTTAACTAATAAATTGTCTTTTAAAAACAACACTACTAACCATTAAATTAGAAAAAAAATCTCTACTAATGAGACGAACCTTTATGAGATAAATGGTGTTTTACAATTTTGATGGTACATTCCAAAATGCAAGGCTTCGAAACATTGAATTCTGATGAATAAATAACTAAATACGGAATATGAATAAAAAAATAAATAAATAAGGAATAATAAGAGGAATAATTTTTTTAATGGAATAATTGTAAATTTTTAGAGGAATTTTTTTCCAAATAACTGCTGATGATGAAAAACACCCAAACTCTTAAGGTTTAAAATAAATTATTGAAACCGAATATTTAGTTAGTGAATTTTGTAAATTAAGGTTTTTTTTTATATTGATTCTATACTAAGAGATAATTATTTTTTATCGTTTATCTTGTTTTATTTTAATATTATACAATTTAGACTAAAATTTTTTATTTTTAATAAAAAAATTATTATTAAATTATTTAATTTATTGTTTAGCTAAATTAGTTATATATTCCATAGTAGAAATAAATAAATAGAAAATAAGTGGCGGGGATAAAGTGCGGGAAGGCAGAGACAATAAAAGACAAAAATACGGGGAAGGAAGAAACTTCCTTCACTTTCCTTAGCTCATCCGCTTCAGTGTTCTGACGATTCTTTGTTTCTTACTCTTCCTCCACCGCCTCCTCCTCCTCCTCTTCCTCGTCGTCCTCCTCCTCCGCCTCCGCCTCTGCTTCTGCCTTGTCGCTCCGGAGGTAAAGTTTGGTTGATTGTTCGTTTTGATTGATTCAATTGTTGTATCCTTCAACTTGCCGCTTTCCTCTTTTAAACCTGAGTTCACGAATTAGGGTTTATGTTTTTCTTTTTTTCCTTTACGGTATTTTGAGTGTGGTCGATTGAATTTTTAATCTGATGCTGATTAGTTTAATAGTTTCTGGTAGTGAAACCATTTTGGTTGTTATAGTGGAAGACAGGTTTAATTTATTTGTTTATTTTTCTTCTATAATAATGATTTCGCTAGAACTGTAGAATTTCAATATTGGACCTTTTAATTGGAATTGGTTTGGCATGAATAAGTGCTTGCTGACTGACTCCCTTACCTGGTGAAGTAATGGTGATTGGCTACTGCCTTTCCTTTGTTGGGTTTGAAGGCATGGGGAGAGCTGATTTTGGTCTGCCTTATAGCCTGTGTTGTATTGACGATTTCTTTCTTCCGATAAAATATGCTTTTCAGATGTTAAAGCTCCTCATTTCGAGCATGTAACTGAGTGAATTAGTGATCAAATATGGGGTAAATGCATCAAATTTTCTTTCTTGTTTTCTGAGAGAGGAACTTCTGCATGCATTCCATCTTATTTTTAGCTTATTTTTTTTGTTCATCAACTCGCACAATTATTGTCTTATTATTTGGCAACTTACTTTCTAGTGGCTGGTTATATAATATCATCAATTTTTTTTTTTTTTTTTAAATCTGTAGCATTTGACTGTTCTTTGATGTTAAATAACAGAGAAAATGCACCAAGCAACATTTAACTGGGGTGGATAACGAAAATCACTGCAAGGGATGGGAGGTTGCTGCTGTTCTTCCAGGAAACCTCATCTGCATGGAACACCTGTGTATTACTATGTTAGTAATAGTTTCCATCTAATTTTATAGTTAACAGGTAACTATTTGTGGTTTTTTTTTCTTTTCTTTTTCCCTGATACTCGAGAAATGAAAGTTGTTTCTGGGCCTGGGGAATGTTGGTACAACTCATTCTTCACCATCACAAGCAACAAAGAGAGGGAGAGTATACAAATGAGGAAGTAAGCAAGAAAGGAGAGAAGAACATTTGAACTGTCCTTAATTTGTTACTTTTCATGATTTCTGATTCATTGATCTTATTTGTTCCAAAACCATTGCCCTCATTTCCTCTCAACTTGAACTGGCTGTAGAATATGCTTCCTATTATTGGTGTTTTGTTTCTACTGAAAGTCAGAGGCTTTTTCGGCTGCATGACAATTTTTTGGCTAGAGTTTGTGGTGAAATGCCATATCACTCATGGAGCTAATGTATGTTAAACTCATTGTCAGAAACCTAGGCTTTTGAAATGAAGAAAAATACAGGTGTCAAGCTTATTTAATATGGATGTTTTACGCCTAATTAGATTTATTTTGGGCTCAATCTTAGGTTCATGCAGACTGTTTACATTGTAAGCCAAATACCATCTGCAAGCCTAGTTTCCTAAACTTTTAGACCGTTTTATTGTCTACACAATGTGTACATGCCTGCTGAATGGTAAACCCTAATTTGTGTAGGTGGAAATACATACTTATTTCTCATTTTGATTCAAGAATTCAAGAGAGAATTTGTTGTATACCATTCTTTGAATTGTAAAACTTTCTGCAGTGTCCAA